ACAGGCGGGCAGGCAGTGTGGGAGGGCTGGGCTGGGAGGGCTGGAGGGAGAGCTGCGCGGGCCGGGGAGCGCCGCAGGCTGGCATGCAAGGGGGGGTGGGGAGCGAGCATCGGGAGCCAGCAGCGGTGCTGCACGCCCGCCCGCCGCCCCTACGCGCCCCCCCACCTGCACCGCCGCCTGCAGCGGCAGCGGCAGCTGCAGCACCAGCGCCTGGAGCAGGATGGGGAGGATGGAGGAGTTGACCTGCGCGGGGCGGCGGCAGGCGGCGGCAGGGGTGGGGCGGGGAAGGCGCGGCAGCACGGCACCGTCTGGCTGGCAGCGAGGCGGCGGCGGCGGCGGCGGGTCGAGGAGAAGGAGGAGGAGGCGGCGGGGGGCATGGCGGCGGCGCACCAGGACCGCCTTGGCAAAGTAGACCCTGTCCCCCACGCTGGAGGCGGCTGCGCCCATCATCATGGGGGCCTTGAGCACCCTGCAGCACGTGGGTGGCAGAGGGGGAAGGGGGCGGCATGGGGGGTGCGGCGATGTGGACGAGCGCCGTGGTGGGCAACCAGTGCCGCAAGCTTGTTCTTGCTGAAACCAGACTGTAAGCCCACACAAGCAAGTGTGAGAGCCTGCCTTGGAGCGCCTCCAACGGGGCCCGCCCAGCCCTCTTGCCTGCCCGCCTGCCTCGCCCGAGCGCTGGCCTCCCCACCCACCCGCACCCCCGCAGCCCCACCTGCGCATGCCCACGATGGCAAAGGCGCGGTGCAGGCGCATGGCGGCGTAGAGGCAGTCGCGCACGGGCGGCCGCAGGTAGATGTCTCGCCGGCGGTGCAGCAGGTACAGCGACAGGGCGGAGGTGAGCAGCGCGGACAGGCTCCACAGCGCCAGGCGCGCCTCTCCATGGGCCAGCGCGGAGACAGTGAAGAAGATGCAGCCCAAGATCTGCGATACGCAGGCGGCGGGCGGGCACATAGCGAGGTCGGGAGTGGTGGGCGGGTGCTGCCTGCGTCGGGCGATAACGAGGCCCTCGACCCCGCAGCTTTGGCGTGTGGGCCGGTGCCCTATGCAGCAGAGGGTGCTGGCAGGCTGGGGGCGGGGCCCAAAGGCGGCAAGAGGCAGCGGGGAGCGAGGGGGCGCAACCCCGTCACCGACCCGGTCCTCCCGCCGCTGGGGGTGCAGCGCGCTGCAGGCCGCCCGTCGCTCGCACCCGCAGCCCCGGCCCCCCAGGGTGCGGCTGCTTGCCTCTATGCAGTGCAGCGTTGACTCGGCAGTGGAGAGCGATAGGACCTTGTGACTGTAAAGCTCGTCCCTTGCGGCGTTGGCTATGGGCATTCTTTCTCGCGGGCTGCACACAGGAATAGACTGCGCCCCGCCGTCCTCGTCTTGTTGGGAGGACGGGGTGACGGCGGCCGTCAGAATGTTGGCCTGCATCTATCGGAGGCTGTGCCCAGCAGGCAGGGTAGATCGGGCGGGAGTGCAGAAGTCTGCGGCACGAAAGCTCCCGGTTTTCGTGGGCGCCGTCTTAATAAGCCACGTCCGCAAATTCTCACAGCCCCCAAACAAGACATTGGCGCGGTGAATTGGACCACACGGAGGATGGATGGCGAGTCGGAGGGCAGAGCAGACGTCATTGATTCGGGTCACCACAAGTTGGGCACAGCGGAGTCCGGGAGGAGGCCTAAGACACCTCCCTTGCCTGATTTTTTCCCTCGCCCATCCCCAATGCGCCATTTATGGGCGAAGGGGATACTGGTTTGACTGCCAGCCAAAGGGACCGCCCGCCGCCCGTCACCGCCCGTCACTGCGCCATCGTGGACTGCTACACAAAGTGCTTGGGGCCCGGGACCAGCGGCAAGCTCTCAGTTGAGGGACTTCCTGCGTCATTACCCCTGACCAACGCAGCCTGGATGTGCATGCATGATGTGCGTCCAAGATGCAAGATGCTTGGGCGGCGGCGCCAGGCGGGCACCCCGCTCTGGCTCGCCATGGCGCTGAAATGCTTCGCTGAGCCGGGCGCGCTCCGTGTGGGGCCTTCCTCAGGAGCGCCTCCACCACAAACGCCGCTGCTCGAAGCGCTCGAGCCCCGAGACAGCCGGCAACGCGGCTGAAGCGATCGACGGACTGCGCCGACTCACAAGTGATCGCACTCGCGTTCAGTGGCATTCGGGGCAGGAACAGGTGCCATGGGTGACCAGGTGAGACCTCCCTTCCTTCCGAGTTCGGTCTCGACTGCCCCAGGGGCTTGCCTCTCAGCAAGGGGCAGGCTATTTCGGGCATTGTAGGCGCTCAGGACCGACAAGCGCGCCACTCGCCTGTCAGTGGTGCCGCCGCCAACTGCCGCGGCCGCCGCCGCCGCAGGCCCGTGCCCGGCAGCCCTCAACACTTTGCATTGCGTGCCTGCAACTGCCTGCAACCGACCGCAGGACAAGAGCCCTTACGGGTACCCACCACAGGCACCCTATGGTTATGGCGCGCCGCCGGTGAGTTGCTGGGGGACTTGAGTTCCGCACAAGTCTCGTCCCCGCCTGCACCTGACCGTGCCTCTCCACTGCCCTGCAGCAGCCCGGCTACCCTCCTCCCCAGGGCTACCCACCCCAGGGCTACCCTCCTCAGGTGCGCTGTCTGAAGTGGTGCAGCAGGAGCCTTGGTGCGGGCAGTTGTGGCATGCGCAGGAGGGCAGCTCTGCAGCTCTGCATGCTCGCGAGTGGCTCAATGTTGAGCAGCCCGTCTTTCAATCGACAGGACCCGACCCCGCCTCCCTGCCTTGCTGCCATGCAGCCTGCTCCGTATGGCTATCCGCCACCGCAGCAGCCCTACCCTGGGCAGCCCCCCGCTCCCTACTACGGCGCCCCGCCCCCTTACCCACCGCCGGCGGGCGCGTACCCACCGCCAGGCCACGCTCCGCACCCAGGTGGGTGCAGCTGCCGCAGGCCGGCCCTCGCATTGCGCATGCCCCGCGCGCCCCCCGGCTCAGCCTGCCAGCCGGCCTCTGATTGCCTCTCCGGCATCGCTGCTGCTCCCGGGCACAGGCGGCTACAGCGCCGGCGCCGCGATGGCAGGCGCAGCGGCGGGCTACATGATGGGCCACGGCCACGGCACGCACAAGCCCATGAAGCACAAGGGCTACAAGGTGAGGCAGGGTGGCGCGGGCGGTGGCCGGGTGGGTGGGCGCCCAGCAGGCATCGCCGTGGGTCTCTGTTGTCCCTCCCTTATTAAGCGGCGGCGGCACCACGCCACAGCTGGGTGCTGGGCTGGCCTGCATAAGCAGGGCGCGGGCATGCACTGACCCACTCCTGGGCGCCGTGCCTCGACATCCTCTGATGCCTGTTGCTGTTGTCGCAGTACAAGGGCGGCGGCTACAGGCCCAAGTTCAAGGGCGGCAAGTACAAGCGCGGCAAGTGAGTTGGACTGCTGCTGGGCAGGGGCCGCCTGACTCGCATGTGGGGCACCGATTTCTGCTTGAATCCGACTGCCCCCGCCACTCCCGGCATCTCCTGGCCGTGTGGCGCTGGCCCAGCTGGTCCCGAGAAAGCAGCCGGGCTCCTCCTGTGACGCACACCACCACCTTGCTGCCTGCGATGTGCTCTGCAGGTATGGCAGGCGCAAGTGACCCAGCGAAACGTAGCCGTGGCTGTGTGTGCGCGGGCGTGGCGCCGCAGCACGGACCAGCGCGGCGGCCATGCTGCCACCTTCCAGCTGCACGGCTTGGGTCCCCTCCCCCCATCTCCATGCCCGTTGACCTTTCCGGCATGTTTGCATGTTCACGGCTTTCTTGCTTCTGAGCACTGTCCCGCCCTACTGAAGCACATTCAGGTGGCGGGCGCCAAGGTGCCCGCCGCCACATCGCTGGTTGACCCTGCTGGATGCGTCAGCACCAATCTGTTGCATCAAGCTGTTGTTCCTCTTTCTGCCTGATGGATGCGTGCATGTAAGACAGTAGTGGAGTGCAAGGGGTATGATGGCGGCGGCAGGTGGAAAGTATGCCGCCGGCTGTTGGTTCATCCAAGGCTGCCCCCTGAACACACCCAAAGCTTTGTGAACCCTGCCGGCTGTGTCTCCCGCGTGTTTGAGGGTTCTGCGATAAGTATACTGCATTGAAGCGGAGCCGAAGGCACCGTCAGACGGGGTGAGGTGCTTGTTGTGGCAAGCGGGCCTCCTGCTTGCTGCTCGCCCCCCACCCACACCCTCTCATTGCTGAGCCCTCCGTTCGCCTCCCACGCGGCCCTGCGCCTTTAAGAGCAGTACCCGGCGTGCGCCAGACCCCTTGGATTGGCAGCTCCGAGCCGGGTGTGCTGCCGAAGCCCCACGAACGAGCAGCAGCACAGCAGGGCCGCATGCAGTGGGCAGGCTGAGGGGCTCGCTCGCAGTTTTGAACAGGCAGCAGTCGTGCCTAGGGCGCGGCCAGTTTGGTGCTTAGCAGGCCTGGGGCGCCGCAGCAGCAGCAGCAGGCAGCCTGAGCCATGTGGGAGCCCTCTGCCCTCTACGACTTCTACGTGGCGGCGCTGCGCGCGTCGGTGCAGCTGGCGGTTGTGCTGTCGCTGCTTGTGTCTGCCGACCGCGTGCTCAACGTCCTCAAGTTCGCCTGCATCAAGCTGCGCGCAAAGCTGACGGGCAGGCTGCCGCAGGACGCCTGGTTCCGCGCGCCGCTGCCCAAGGCCCCAGAGGAGTACCCGCTGGTGAGCGGTTGGGCGGCGGGCGGCAGCGCTCGCCTGGCAGCGCTTGGCAGCGCTGGTGCAGCAAGTGCGCCCGCCTGGCCTGGGTGCCAGCCCATGCCGCAGGCCGCTGGCAGGTCCAGCGCTGGCTGGAGCGGGGCCGGCCGGCCGGCACTCCTGCTCGACTGTGCGCCGCGAAAGCGAGGCATGCCGCGCGGTGCACCTCTTGCCCCTCCCCGCCAGCTCGCTGAGCGGAGCGTGGCGCGTCCCGCTGCCGCGCGTTGCTGGGTGCAGGTGGCTGTGCAGCTGCCCATGTTCAACGAGCGCGCCGTGTGCCAGGCCATCATCGACTGCTGCGCAGAGCTGGAGTGGCCCGCGCAGCGGCTCAAGATCCAGGTACGGCGCCGTGGGGGGTGGGGGGGGGTGGAGGGTCAGCCTGTGGTCGCTGCTGCTGCTGCTGGGGCTTGTGCCTGCCCTGCTTCGGCTCACCTGCCAGCTCATCCCAGCCAGCCCAGCGCAGGCTGCCCTGCTGCCCTGCTCTTTCTCTCCCTTGCCCCCGCTGCCCGTGCCACGCTCCCTGCTCTTTTTCCCCCTCGGCCCTCCTGTCCCTGCCGCGCTCCCTCTCCTCCACCCAGCCCCTTCCCTGCCCCACTTCCTCCCTCCCTCCCTGACCCCCTGCAGGTGCTGGACGACTCCACCGACGGCGTGACTCGGGAGCTGGTGGATGAAAAGGTGCTGGAGTGGCGGGAGCGGGGCATCGCGGTGGAGTGCGTGCGCCGCACCAACCGCCAGGGCTACAAGGCGGGGGCGATGAAGGAGGTGGGGGGCGCGGCTGCGCGTCTGGCGGGGCTGCGCCGCATGCGGCTGCGCGCGGCGCCTGGGTGCACGCTGGGTGCAGGCTGCCTGTGCCGCCTCGCAGCCACCCGCTGCCGCTGCCGTGCCGCCGCCCGTCCCACCGACCAGCCCTGCCCTCCCCTGGCCTCCCCGCCCCGCCGCTTGTGGCCTGCAGGGAATGGAGGCTCTGGCGCGCGAGGGGTTCGAGTTTGTCGCTGTGTTTGACGCCGACTTCAAGCCCGAGCCCGGCTTCCTGCACAGGACCCTGCCATACCTCATGGGCAACCCGCAGGTGGGCCTGGGTGGCGCGGGGCCAAGAAAGCTGCGCCCTGGCAGGCGTGGGGGGCATCTGGGGGGGGGACAGGCAGAGTGGCTGGGCATTCCAGCGGTTGCACGGCACAAGCTGCCGGCGGTGGCTGCCCTCACCTCACCCTCTGCGCCCCCTGCCTGCCTGCCTGCCCGCCTGCCCTCCCGCCCACAGGTCGGGTATGTGCAGTCGCGCTGGGTGTTCACCAACCCGCAGGAGTCGTACCTGACCAAAGCACAGGAGGTGAGCTGGCGCCTGCTGCGCCCCGCGCCTGTGTGTGAAGCGCGTGGGCCGGTGCCTGCGCTGGCGCTGCGCTGCGCGCCGCCACCCATGCAGGTCTGCCCGTTCGAGGGCCGCCGCCGCCGCCTGCCCGGCAGCGCTCCTCCCGCGGACCTGCTGCGCCCTGCGCCTGCCCTGCGCCTGCCCCACCCCTGCCTGCCCCCTGCCCCGCAGGTCAGCCTGAACTACCACATGAAGTGCGAGCAGTACACCCACTCCGCCGCCCGCTCCTTCTTCAATTTCAACGGTACCGCAGGCAAGGGGGCAGGGCCGCGGGGGGTGGTGCGGAGCGGGTCTGGGGCAGCCAGCTGGCACTGAAGCGATGGGTGCGACGGGCAGGCAGGCAGACAGGCAGGCGCACCACTTCCCCCCCCCTCCACCCACCCTCCCCCCCGCAGGCGTGTGGCGCCTGGCGTGCATCGAGCACGCGGGCGGCTGGAATGCGCGCACGACGGTGGAGGACATGGACCTGTCGCTGCGCGCCTACCTGCGCGGCTGGTCGGCCGTCTTCTTGCACGATGTGGCCTGCCTGAACGAGGTGCGCGGGCCTGGCCTCATGTGCTGGGGCTAGGCTGGCGCTGGGGCTGGGGCTGGGCTGGGATGTGCTGGCTGGGGGGCACCAATGTGTGTGCCTGGGGTGGGGCACGGCGGCGCGGTGGGTGCGCGGCCGGTGTGGCGTGCGTGCGAGGGCCCGAGGGGGAGAGTGCAGGGCTTGCCTGCCTGATGCCTGCCTGATGCCTGCCGGCCGGCCGAGCTGCGTGCCCTGCTCCCCGCGCGGCTGTTGCCGCCCGCAGCTCCCCGCCTCCTTCTTCGCCTACCGCAAGCAGCAGCACCGCTGGACCTGCGGCCCCATCCAGCTCTGGTCCAAGGCCAGCACAGACATCTGGCGCTCGCAGGCAGGCGGGGGCGGGGGCGGAGGGGGGAGGGGCAGGGGAGGGCGGCGGGGGAGCACGCCGCTCGAAGCCCAACCGCACGCCGCAGCGCGCCGCCCAGCCTCGCTCTTGCCTCGCTGTAGTCCGGTCATCGTTTGCAATATCTGTGCACTTCCGCTTGCTCACCCTCCCCGCCCGCGCACCCGTTCCCGCCCTGCCACCCCCCCGGTGCAGCTGCCTCTGGGTCGCAAGGTGGAGCTCATCCTGCTCTACTTTGGCGTGCGCAAGTGCTCCACCCACCTCGTCTCCCTGGGCTTCTTCTGCACCCTGGTGCCCCTCACGGTCTTCACGCCAGAGGTGAGCTGGCGCAGCGTGCGCAGCGGCGCAGCGTGCGCAGCGGCACAGCGTGCGCAGCGGCGCGGGCGCAGCCGGAGGGCCACGCCCCATGGCCCACGGCGTGGCAGCGCCCTGGCAGCAGTGCGCCAGCAGGCTGCGGCCAGCACACCTGGCCAGCTGAACGCGGGTTGACGAGTCCAGTTTACACCACACCGCCCCTTGCCTGCTCCCCTGCCGCCCCTCGCCCCCCCTGCAGGTGCACATCCCCACCTGGGCCCTGGTGCACCTGCCGGTGGCCGTCACCCTCTCCACCTCCTGGTTCACCCGCAAGGGCTGGCTCTACTCCGTCTTCTACGTCCTCTTCGAGAACGCCATGGGCACAGTCAAGCTGTGGGCGGTGGTCACGGGTGCGGCGGCTTGGGAGGCGGGGGGGCGGGAAGCGGGGGTCGGGGGCAGCTTCTGTGCCCGCGCCTGCGCTTCGATGCGCGCCTGACCCTCGCTCACGCCTCCTGCCGGCGCATGCGGCGAGCCAGCCCAGCTCCCCATCCGCCAGGCCTCGACCCCGCAGCCCCCCTGCCTGCCTCCCTCCCTCCCCCATGCTGCCCCCCGCAGGCCTGCTGGACCTGCAGCGCGCCCAGGAGTGGGTGGTGACCACCAAGCTGGGCAGCAGCGACAAGCGCCCCGGCACGGGCGGCGACGGCTCCGCCATCACCATCCCCTCCTGCCGCCTCTACCTCAACGAGCTCGCCTGGGCCCTGTTCACCGCAGCCGCCGGCTTCTACGGCCTGTTTGCCGGCACCGCCCACATGGGCCTGGCCCTCTACCTGCTGGTGCAGAGTGAGCGCGGGGCTGGGGGTGGGGCAGGGGGCGCTGCCTGGGGCTGGGAGGGGGCCGGGCCTGGCGGCGCCGCGCCCCTCGCCCCTCCGCCCCTCATCTCAGCCCCTGCGTGGCCGAGCAGCCAGCCTCCCCGTTGGGCCAGGCTTCCCCCCAGCGGCACCTGACCCACGCCCTCCCCCCCGCGCACCCCGCCGCCCCGCAGGCTTTGTGTTCCTGGCCTTTGGCCTCAACTGGGTGGACGCGGGCGGCCTGCTGGGCGGGCGGCTGGACGAGGATGTGGTGCGGGTGCCGGTCAAGGCCAGCGGCGCCCCGCTGGCGCCAGCGGGGCGAGAGGTCAAGCGTGCGTACACAATGTGAGTCGGTGGCAGCGCACGGGCGGGGCCCAGCTCGTCAGTTGTAACCTGAGCTGCACCGGCCTCAGCGGGCCTGCAAGACTGCCGTGGGCCCTCCCCACCGGTCTCCCCTGCACCTCCCTCACACCCACCCGGCCCCTGCTTAGCTAAGCTTGGCCCCGCCCGGCCGCGGCCCCCTCCCCCCGTGTCCTGCTGCAGCCCCGTCATCAAGCTGGACTCGGAGGATCGCCTGCCCGCCATGCGCACCGCCGCCTCGGCGTACGCCAAGCTGGACTCAGGTGCGGCTGCCGGGGCGGCTGCTGCAGTGGCTGCTGGACGGCGTGTGAAGCAGCAGGAGGGGGCATGCGCTTGTCGCACAGGAGCAGCTTGCTGAAGCTGCTGGGGACTGGGCAGGACCCGGGCCCCGGGCCATGCCCCCCACCTTGCTGCCCCGCCAGCCAGCTGGCCGCCCACCCCTGCCGCTGCCCCGGCCTCGCCCCTGGCGCAGGCGGCAGCCGCACCGACGTGCTGGAGGGGCTGGCGGACGGCAGCGCCTCGCCCTCCACCAGCAGCAGCGCCTCCTCGCTGCACGACGGCTACGGCTCCAGGTGAGGGAGGGGAGGAGGAGGAGGACGAGGCAGGGAGGGGAAGAGCGCAGGGCTGGCTGCCAGCCCAGCGCTGATTCTTCTGTTTGGACGCTGCCGGCCGGCCTCCTGCCTCCTGCCTCCTGCCTCCTGCCTCCTGCCCACCTAAGCTGCGCCTTCTCTCACCCGCCTGCCTCCTCCTGCCCCGCCGCAGCTCTCCCGAGGGGCTGGGAGACAACGCGGTCAGCCTGGCCAGCGTGCGGCTGGCAGACAGGTGCGCCGCCTGGAGCCCGCCGATCGGCTGGCCACACATCCCAGCAGCGCTGGCCGCCGCTCGCAGCTCGGCGGCTGCCACGCCGCCCCGCTCTGTGCCATGCGTTCTCACCAAGTGCTGTCACCCACAAAGTGTGCTGCTCCCTGCCGCTGCTGGGTGCGTGCAGGTGGAATGTGTCGCCGGACTCCAGCCTGACTGATATCTATGCCACCAAGCCCGCCGCCAAGCTCTCCACCCCGGGGGCGGGCGCCACCCCCGCTGCGCTTGCCGCCGACATGCTGGCGGGGAAGACGCAGCCGCGCCGCGGCTGGGGCAGCCTGTTCGGGCTGGCGCCAGCCTACGAGCGCCTGGAGGCCGCGCACGTGGATTGAAAGGAGGCCGCCAGGGCTGCAGCGGCGGCGAGCGCGGCGGGAGCGAGCCGCTGCTGCCGCCGACCGGCAGCCACAGCCCTAGATACTAGGCGTGCTAGTGTCACGCAGGCAGGCAGGCAGGCAGGCCAGCCAGCCAGCCAGCCAGTGCCGGCATAGGCAGTGCAGCAGGATTTGATGCGTCAGGTCAGGTTGGAGCGGGAGCCCAATTTGGCGCCCAGCAGCCACCTAGTTGTGGGGTCGTGCGATGCAAACCGCACCAGGCATAGAACCTCACTTCACTCACCAAAACCCAACACTCAACGGATATGTCGGTGTCTCCACGTCTCCCTGTCCATGCCTGTCTCCGTCTGAACTTTGCACATCCTTGCTGATCCGTCTCCCAATTCAGGATTCTTTTCCCTCAAAACACAAATCACCGCCGCCCCCACCTCTATGGCGACCCATGATGCCCTGACCATTCCTAGGAGCTTGCATGCCCCGAGTGTATAGAAGTTAGACGTCTGCATGCTCGACTCCCTTGCAAGCCTTGAATAGCGCCCGTCTTCCTTGTCGCCATCTCTTTCTTGTCCCCGCCCGCTAGATGTGCGGCGCCGCCGGGTACTATCGGCGTCGCCGGCCGCATTGTGCCGGCAACCGAGCCCCAGTCCATTTTTTCTATCCGTTGCACCATTTTTCTTTCATTTGCAAAGCGCAGCAACAGGGGCAAAGCTCAGGAGGCAGGCAGTGGGAGGATGCTGAGCGCCTGTGCGAGAGGCCCTGGGTGCGCTGCCGCCTTGCGTGAGCTCGGCGGCAGCGACGCAGCAGCACAGCACTTGCATCACTTGCTTGCGGGTTTTGGCTAGGTCCCCTGGTGGCACATCGCACCCTTTGTCTTCCCCCTAGCATTCCACCTCTCCTCTTGAAGGCGTTCTCAGGCAGTGGCGCCACCGCCACGACCGCCGCCGCCACTTGGCACAGCCTGCCTACCGCGAACCTTCCCTTTCGAAACCGGCACCTTCAGCTATTCAGTACCTTATCCTTCTGAGGGTTGTCCCCCCGACTCTCCATCTGGGTGTTGCCGCACCGGGACCGCTTCTGCCGCGGCCACCGTTTCCTTTCGGCGGCATGTCGGGGCGGCTGGAGGTCAATTTGCTGCAGGCGACTGGTTTGAGGGATACGAAGACCTTCGGTGAGCTGACTGCAGCTGGGTTTGGCATTCCCTGTCTCCCCGCTGCCCCTCCGCTGCCCAGTTCCATCCAGAACGCACACTGGGTGGATGCCCACAGACCGTGGATGTCGCTCGTGCCGGGAGGCCCTGGCACCCGACGGCGGTGGCGGCGGGGCGGCGGCCGAGGAACCCGCCTGGGCATCTCCCGCTGCTGCAGGCAAGCAGGACTGCTATGCCGTGTGCCAGGTGGGCACGGTGCGGCAGCGCAGCAAGACGAAGAAGGACGGCGGGACCAAACCGGCCTGGAACGAGCGCATTGTTCTTGGCACCTTCCACGCCTCTGCCGCGCCGCAGATGCTGGTGGAGGTCTTTGCTGCCACACTCATCGGCCAGGGTGGGCTGGGCCTGGGGGTGCGCAGCAAAAGGCGCACAGATCCCCCGCAGCTGAGCGCAGCAGCAGCAGCACGCGCGCAGGCTTGCTTGACGGAGCCCGCAGCTCTGCCTGCCCCGCCCTGCACAACCCCCGCCTGCCTGGCTTCTTCCACCGCCGCAGACGACCTGCTGGGCGGCGTCATCGTCAACCTGTCTCGGGTGCAGCGGGCGGGGCTGGACGACGTCAAGGCGCCGCTGCGCACGCGGGACGGCAAGGCGGCGGGCGAGGTGCAGCTGATCCTCAAGTGGGAGACGATAGATGGCGGGCCGCCGCCTGCGCAGCAGCAGCAGCACCAGCAGCACCAGCCCCAGCAGCAGCAGCAGCAGCAGCAGGCGGAAGTCCCGTGGTCCTTTGGGGCAGCAGGCGCTGCAGCGGGCGGCGCCGCGGGGGCGGCCGCGGCAGCAGCAGCCTACCCGCCGCCTGCTGTGGGCGCTGGGTCGTGCCCCGCCGCCTATCCCGACCCGTTTGCCGCCTCGGCAGCCCCGCCGCCGCCTGCAGCGGCCTCTGCCTACCCGCCGCCCGCGATGGCAGCAGCCCCCAGCGCGCCGCCGGCGCCCGCCTATCCCGAACCTGCGGCGGCGGCCGCACCCGCCTACCCCGCACCCGTCCCTGCTCCCGCGCCGTCGGCGGCGCCGGGCTACCCACCGCCCGCAGCGCACCCCTCCGCAGCGCCTGTAGCAGCGGCAGCAGCCGCCGGGGCCGCAGTGGGTGCCGCGGCAAGCGCCGCAGCGGGCGCACCGGCCGGCTATCCGCCTGCGGTGCCGGCGGGGCACGTGGCGCCGCCCTCGCAGCCCCCGGGGTACCCGCCGGCAGGCCAGCAGCCGTACGGCGCACCGCCGCCTTACGGCGCGCCGCCGCCGCCTTACGGCGCGCCCCCGCCCTATGGAGCGCCTCCCCCTGGCTACGCAGCGCCACCCCCCTACGGGGCCCCCTACCCGCCCGCGCCTGGCTATGCCCCATACCCAAGTGCGCTGGCCTGCACCAGGCAGCAGCAGCGTGCTGGGAGTGAGGGGGGCCGCCGCCTCGCTGCTGGCCGGCTTGCTCTCTTCTCTTCATAGCCCTCAGTTTCATCGTTCTGCTCTTTCTTTGTGTGTGTGTGTGCCTCCTGCAGCCTACTACCCCCCTCCATCCCACCACGGCGGCTCGACTGCGGCGATGGCGGCCATGGGAGGCGCGATGGTGGGAGGCGCGGCAGGCATGGCAGGTGCGCCGCCATGGGCCAGCTGCGTGGCTCTCCGCTTCCGTGCCGCTGCTCTGCTGACAGCCCTCTGTGCATCTCCCCAGGGGCGGCGGCAGCTGGCCTGCCCCGCGCCAAATCATGGGACCACTCTGAACGTCCCGCTTGGATGCGCCCCACCCGCTCCCGCCTGCCCTCGCTTGCAGCCCACCCGTATCCGCACTACTCCCACCATGGCAGCCACTATGGGTATAATGGGAAGAAGATGAAGTACAAGCGCCCCAAGTACGGGCGGTACAAGCGGCACAAGTGGAAGTAGGGGGCTGGGCCAGACCGACCACCAGTGGCATGCGACGGCAGGCACGCCTGCGCCGGCAGTGCGGCAGCAGCTTGATAGCGGCGCATGCAGGAGACCCACTACTTTACTGCTGTGCTTTCGTGCTACTTTATCGCCACTGGAATGGTTTGTTGCAATGCTAGCCACACTTTTGTGTCTAGTGGTGCGCCGTTGGCGGGCGGTGGCCCTGCCGGCGCCGGCGCTGGCGCATGGCCATTTGTGCGCAGGTGTGCTCCCGGCGTTCTCACCCACGCTTCCTGCTGTTGCTGACGCTAGTAAGGGGTTGGGGAATGCCGAATTGATTGTTGGTTTCTCATGGGGGCTTGCGCAAGCATGCTGGCAGCGTACAAGTTTACTTTGTTGGCCTGCGCATGCGTAATTTACATTCACGCACTCAACCCTAATTACAGCCCGGCCTTGCCCAGCGGCGTCTTGCGACCCCACCCGAACCAAGCCCAGTTCAGTGCCTGCCTCCCCGGTCCGCTGAGCGGCGCATTCCTGTCCCCTGGGCTGTGTAGAGGACTGTGTGGGCAGCCCGCCATGACACGGTGACGAGTTTGGGCACTCTCGTCGGCGGAATGGAGGAGCCTCCCAGCAAGCAGCAGCAGCCCAGAAAGGTGGCGGTGTCGCGGGAGCAGATGCGGCAGCTGAACAGGGAGGAGCGGCTGCGGCGCGCGGAGGAGCGGCGGTGCCGCCTGCTCGAGGCGAGTCCCCGCAGCCGCCTCGCCTCAGGGGCACAGCCACCTGGCGTGCCGCAGCCCTGGCTGTGCTCAACGCTCCCGGCGCGAGCGGCTGGGAGGCTGGGAAGCGCGCGCTGGGGAGCCCGCGCCCGCCTGTTGCGTTGCCTGTTGCGTTTGCCTCCCGTGTGCGGGCCACGCTCTGCCAATCTGCAGCTGCCCGTCCGCTCCTTTCCTGCTCGCAGGCCGCGCAGGAGGCCACACAGGCTGCTGCCGAGGAGGATGCCTGGATGGATCGCGTGAGGCCAGCGCCCATCTACCGGCCCAGCCAGCAGGAGTGGGCTGACCCGCTGGCTTACCTGCGCACCATACAGGTGGGCGGCCAGGCGGCCGCGACGGCAGGGGCTGCCCGGCGGTGGCGACAGCGGCGGTGTGATGGCTGTCGCGGTGGCCTTGGGCAATGGTGTGATGGCGGTGTGGTGGTGGCAGCGGCGGGGTGTGGAGGGTCGACAGATAGCGAGAAGCGAGGCAAGGGGGGGGCGACCTCCTGCTCAGGTGCAGCTCATCGCCACAGGCTGCGGCTGCGGCCCTGTTAGCGCTGGCCCGGCAATCGTTCTGATGCCGCCCGCCCGCCAGCCTGCCCCCTCCCGCCGTGTGCGCAGGCGGAGGCCTCCCAGGCGGGGATCTGCATCGTGCGGGCGCCGCTGGCACCTACCATGGCTGGCGGCCTGGTGAGCGGCGGCCTGCGCTGGTGCTGGCCTGGCATGGCGGGTACCATGGTGGTGGTGGTTGTGGTGGTGATGGTGGTGGTGGTGGTGAGGGGACGGCGGGATCGCTTCAGCGTCGAGGGACGCAGGCTCTGCCTGTGGCGGCTGCCTGCCGCAGCGACATGAGCCGGGTGGCGAAGCCAGCGCCGCGCCGCGCATCCACACCATGCGCCGCTCCACGCCGCCGCCCACCTGCTGTGCAGGCCATGATGGCGCAGGACCCTTCCTTCAGGTTCGACACGCGGCAGCAGGCGGTACGGGACGAGCCCTGGAGCAGCTGGGAGGCGCAGCACGTGTTCCAGCCGGTACCGCCGCCACCGCCCGCCGCCGCTGCTGCCGCCGCCGCCGTTGGTACCGCAGGGGCTGCGGGGTGCTGCCAGGGGATCCCCGCTGGGTGTAGCTTCCGTCGCTGCTCTGCTGGCTGGCTGGCTGACTGGCCGGCATGGATGCCCCGCCTGCCTGCCTGCCTGCCTGCCAGCAGGGCAAGCGGTACAGCCTGCGGGAGTTCCAGGACGCGGCCTGTGCCAACGCCGCCAAGCGCTTTGGAGGCCTGCACGGCTCCCTGCCCGCCCGCTGCATCGAGGTGCGCGGCGCCGGCCGCGCGCCACGGCAGGGCCCGCCCCGCCGGCCGCTGGCCCCGCCACAGGAGCCGCCTGCTGGCCTGATGGTTTGATCGCCCGCCGCCTGCTCCCAACGCCTGCCCCGCTGCTCCTGCCCGCCTGCCCGCCCCTCTGCCTCGCACCCATGCACGCGCACCCATGCACGCACACACACCGCCGTCACCGCCGCCGCCCACTGCAGCGGGAGTACTGGCGGGAGCGTGAGCGGCGCGAGGGCGCCCCGCTGCTGGTGGAGTATGGCAGCGACGTGGAGGGGTCGCTGTTCCTGCCGCACGACCGCCTGGGGCGCAGCCGCTGGAACCTAAATGTGAGCAGGAGGGCGGGCGGGGCGGGGCGGGTTGGGGCTTGGTGCAGGGGAGGGGCGGGGTGCAGGGAGGAGCGGCGGGGCTGGCGTTGCCGCTGGCGCCACGAGGCGGGCCGGGGCCAGGGCCTGCCCCGCGGCTGCCCCCGGGCCCGCGCCCCGCTGCCCACGCGGCCAGCACACAAAGGCGCTCCGGATGCAGACCACGCCCCCTGTCCTGTCCTCCCAGCCATCTACCCGCCCGTCCCACCCACCCCCCTGCCTTCCTTCCCCCCACCCCACCCCACACACGCAGCACCTGCCCTTGGAGCTCGGCTCCGCGCTGCGCTTCTGCCACGCGGCGGCGCGCGGCGGCGGCGGGCGCCCCATCCCCGGCGTCTCCACCCCCATGCTCTACATCGGCCAGCTCTTCTCCACCTTTGCCTGGCACGTGGAGGACCACTTCATGCACTCGCTCAACTACCAGCACCTGGGGGCGGCCAAGACGTGGTGGGTTGGGGGATTGGGGGTGGGGGGTGTGAGTGGGGTTTTAAGATGATGGTTTTAGAATGGTTGATGTGGATGTGGGTGTGGGTGTGGATTGGGGTGGCGGGTCTGGGTGTGGCTGGTGGGGCGGCGGGAGGCGCGCCGGGCGCGTGTGGCGATGGGGGGGTGCCCCGTGCTTGCTCCCTCCCGACGCACGCCGCCACCTACGCGCGGTCGAGTTGCCCCCCCTGTCTCGCCGCAGGTACGGCGTGCCCTCCAGCCACGCCGACGCGTTTGAAGGGGTGGCGCGGCGCAGCGTGTACGCCGGCGCATGCGCGCGCATGCAGGCGGAGGGGGCCGGGGAGTCACAGGTGCGCTCCGGGCGCTGCTCTGCGCCTGCCTGCCTGCCCTGCCCTCGGCGCGGCAGCCATGTCGTGAGCAGCGGCAGCGGCAGCAGCACGCAGCACGAAAGCAGGCTCCAGCCTCGCGCGGGGATTGTGGCCGCCCATGCGCTGCGCACCTCCCTCCCCCCCCCCGGCTGCTCCTCCCGCCGCCGCAGGTGTGGTGCGCCGTGGAGCGCGCGCTCATGGGCAAGACAACCATGTTCTCGCCGCGCCTCCTGCTGGACAGCGGTGAGCTGGCCGGCGGCCCGGTACCGCTGCCCGGTACCGCGGCCCTGCGCCCTGCCCTGCACCGCCGGACAACAGGCAGCCGGCAGGCGGCTGCCCTGCGTTGCCGAGCCCGCCCCGTCTGCTACATGCACACACACCGACTGCCGCGCGGTGCACCCCCCACTTCCCGCCACCACTGCCGCGACCCGCCACTCGCCACGCGCCGTGCTGTATCGCTGTATGTACCGCAGGCGTGCCCGTGTACCGTGCGGTACAGGAGGTGGGCGACTATGTGGTCACCTTCCCGCGCGCCTACCACGGCGGCTTTGGCAACGGCTTCCAAGTCGGGGAGGCAGTCAACTTCTCGCTGGGTGAGTTTATCCAGTACCTAGATACTGCCTCCTACCTGCTGCCTGGGAAGCTTGGCTGGCTGGCTGGCTGGCTGCCTGCCTGCCTGCCTGGGCCCCATCGCCTGCCCCCCTTGCCTGGCCCCAACAACAATCCACTCTGCGCTGCCGCGCTGCCCGCCCCCCCGCGCCGCGCCTGCAGGCGACTGGTGGCCGTATGCGGAGGACGCGCGGCAGCGGTACCGCCGCCTGCGCCACCCGGCCATCCTGCCGCAGGAGCAGCTGCTGTGCGACGAGGCGGCGGCGCTGGCGGAGAAGCGGCGGAAGGGTGAGGCGCCCGCCCCCCAAGCGCATGCATCGCCGCTCCCGCTGCGCTTGCCGGCCCCCAGCCTCTCTATCTTTTTGTGCAATGTGCTAACAACAACTTTTTTGCCTTGCTCCTGTGCGGCCTGTGGCGTGCAGAGCGCCACCACGGCTCTGCTGCAGCGCCAGCACACGTGCAGCCCAGCCGGGAGGCCGCCCCGACCGACGCGGCCGGCGGCGGCGGCAGCCCCGCGGCGGCCGCGGCCGCCGCCGGCGACAACGCGCTGGCGCACGCGTTTGTGGGCGTCGTGCGGCGGCTGCACCACTGCCGCGGCCTGCTGGAGCGTGCGGGGGCGGTGCCTGTGCGGGCGTGCGCCCCGGGGGACCCACTGGAGGGCCGCTCCATTCACTGCTCCTCCTGCCAGCAGCTCTGCTACCTGGCCTCGGCGGTGCTGCAGCCGGCCGGGCCGCCCATCGCCTGGCGGCACCTGTGCCTTGAGTGCGGCGCGGCGGCGGCGGCGGCGGCGGCGGCGGCCGCCGCGGCGGGCGGCCCTCCCTGGCAGCCGCTGCTGCTGGTGAAGCCGTGCTGGGAGGAGGCGGAGGGGTGCTGCCGCGAGCTGGAGGCCGGCGTGTGCCACCCGGCAGGTGCTTTCCTCCCCGTGGCCGCCTGCTAGCGTGGTGTGCCTGGCGGTGGCGTGGCCGCACACGCCTGCACCCCTGCATCCCTGCACGCCTGCCACGCCGCCTCGCCCCGGCCCCTCCTCATGCCTGCAAATGCCGTGCTGCATCCCACCACGCCGGCGGCTCACTCTGCCCGCCCGCCTCCCCGCCCCGCCGCTGCAGGCACGCCGCTGACGCTGAGCCTGGCGGGCGCCAGCGAGGCGCAGCGATACGGGCCGTGGGCCGAGGCCGGCTGGCCCACCCCCAGCGAGGCTTATGCCTGGGCCGAGCTGCAACAGCCGCGCGAAGACCTGCCCCCCAGCCTGCTGCACGCCAGCCAGCAGCCGCGGGGCGGGGCGGCAGCCGGGGAGGCGCCTGGGGAGGCGGCGCCGCTGATTGCGCCTGCGGCGGCGGCGGCAGCGGCGGCTGCGGCGGAGGAAGCGGCGGCAGCAGGTGCTGCGGTGGGCCCTGCGGCCGCAGAGGAGCCTCTGTCTGCGCACAAGGTGTTCCTGGCGGCTGTGCAGCAGGAGGAGGAGGCGGGGAGCGGCGACGAGGGGAAGGCGGCGCCGCTGGTTGCCGGGCCGCGGGCCGGCGTGGTGGGGCGCCGCGCGGCGGCACAACCGCCGCCGCCGCCGAGGCTCATGCAGTCGCGCACCCGCCGCGAGGCGGAGGCGGCTCCAGCGGCGGGGGCCCCGCCTGCCTCGCAGCCGCCGCAGCAGGCGCAGCAGGCGCGGCAGGCGCAGCAGGCGCAGCAGGCGCGGCAGGCGCAGCAGGCGCAGCAGGCGCCCATCAGGGAGATGATTGGCCCCCACTTGAACGACCCTGGCAGCCCGCTGGAGCTGGTGGATGACCGGCGGGTGGAAGTGAAGGGGCACCCGCACCGGCGCCGCGTCTTCCGGAAGCCCCTGAAGGGTGCGGCGTGCCTGCGGCGTGCCTCTGCGGCCTGCGGCGCGGCCCTTGTGTGTGTGTGTGTGTTGCGCGCCGTGCCGCCCTGCTCACACGCGCCGTGCGGCGGAGCCCCGCGCTGTTGGGGCTCGCTTGCAAGCTGCTGTGCATCGCCGCACCGCCTGCTGCGCCGCCCGCGCGGTCGACCACCCGCTCCGGCTGGCCCCCACGCCGGCTGCGCGACCTCGCATCGCCACACCCCTGCCCGCCCCGCGCCGCGCGCTGGGCATGCAGGCGGCCTGGTGCTGGTTGCCAACGAGGTGATGACTGCGCTGTATGGCCAGGCGCCTCCCGTCAGGGACGCGGTCACCAAGTGAGCGCCCCCTGGCCCTGCTGGGGACCTGCTGCCGCCGCCAGCCTGGAATGCTGCCTTGGCTTGGCTGGCCTTGCCAGGGCAAGGGAAGGGAAGGGGGCTCGCGATCCGGCTCCAGCATGCACTGCATACTACCGCGCACCGCCACCCTTCCCGGTTGTCGCCTGCCGTGGGTGTGCGGCGGCAGCCGGCGCTGACGAAGCTGCGGGGGGGTGCACGCCGCTCGGCCGAGGCGCCATCCGCTCCCCCGCCGCCGCTGCAGGGTGCTGGCTCGCTGGCTGCGGGACTGCGGGGCGCGCCGCGCATCGCGCGCCTTCCTGGCAGGTTCCACCCGCGAGAGCGGCTACCCCGTACTGGAGCGCCGCCACATCTCCAGGCTGCTGCTCCACGAGCCGCTGGGGCAGGACATGCGGTGAGGATGGCACAAGAGCACAGGGCGGGGGCCCGGCTGCACGCCCTGGCACCGCTGGCGCGGCCAACGCGCCGGGGCGGCTATCGGGCGGCACCGTGCTGCGGCCGCGAGCCCGCCGCTGTTCTGCCGTTGCGCGCCGCGTGCGTCACGTCTGTCGCGCGCCCCTGCCGTCGCGCCGGCGGCGCCTGCAGGGAGCGGCTGGCTGAGTTTGTGGCGGGGGTGTGGCCGGAGGATGAGGCGGTGGCGGGCTCCCCTGGGCCTGGAGGCAGCGAGGCGGGTGTCCAGATGCCCACGCCGCAGCTGCAAGGGCCGCCAGCGGGGCAGCGGCGGAGGAAGGCGCAGGGGCAGCCGCCGCAGCAGGTGCCGCAGGGTGGGGGCGCGCAGGAAAGGCGGGCGCGGCGGCGGCCGCGGTCTGCCGGAGCGGCGGCGAGGGCTGTCGGCGGCGGTGAGCTCCAGACCGGCTCGGAGGCGGAAGGGGGCGATGCAGCGCCTCCGCCACACGCACGCGGCCGCCGGCAGCCGCAGCCGCAGCAGCGGCAGCAGCGGCGGCGCCCAGCCGAGGCTGCAGAGACGGAATCGGAATGGGAGGATGAGGAGGCGGGCGAAGAGGATGAGGAAGCGGAGCTGAATGCGGCGCTGGCAGCTGCCAGCCGCCGGCGCAGGGCCCGGCAGCGACTGCCGCGGGAATCCGCTGCTGCTGCTGCTGCCCGGTTGGAGGCAGCGGCAGCGGAGGAGGAGGAGGAGGAGGCTGCCACAGAAGAGGAGGATGAGGAGGAGACGGAGGATGAGGAGGAGCGTGTGATGGCCAGGGCAGCTGCCAGCTGCCAGCGCAGGGCCAGGCAGCAGCAGCAGCGTGAGGCGGCAGAGCAGCGGGGCAGCAAGAGGCGCAAGGCTGGTGGCGAGCGAACGCGCAGCGCCAGCACGGCGGCCGCGGCGCCCCCGCCCAAGAGGCAGCGCCAGGCTGCAACCTGCTCCCACCTGCCGGCCGTGGCGGCCGCCCATGGCAGTGCGCCAGCGCCGGCGCCAGCGCAAGCTGCGTCGCTGCCCGGCCCGGCCGGCGGAGCAGGCAACCACTGCAGCAGCGGCGGCGCCGGCTTGGGCATGGGTGCGGCGAGCACGGAGGCTCTGGTGGAGATGCAGCTGCAGGCGCACGCCCACTGGCAGGCACAGGCGCACGCCAGCACCTCCCCCCTCGCCTTTGCATTTGGAAGCGCCTTCCAGCACATGGGCAGCCACCAGCAGCAGCACCACCACCGCCACCAGCAGCAGCAACTGGCGGCGCAGCAGCAGCGCGAGTGGCAGCTATTTGCAGCGCATCAGCAGCACTCGCTGGCGCAGCTCCAGCAGCAGCTCCAGCAGCAGCAGCAGCAGGCGGCGGGCCGTGCGGTGGTGGTGGAGGAGGGGGAGGGCGCGCCGGCCCAGCCGGCCCGCCACGCCCACGCCGCAGCCGGCGCCGCGGCGGCGGCGGCTGGCTGGGGCCGTGCGGCTCGCCTCGCTGGCGCCGCTAGCTCACTGGGCAAGCTGGCCGCCGCCGCCACCCCGGACCTGGCCACGGGGCTGGAGGAGGAGGAGGTGGAGGCTGCACAGCTGGAGGCGGGGGAGGATGTGTTGATGGCGCACATTGTGGCTGGCATGCCGCTGACCGGCCCCGACCCCGCGGCCTGGCACGTGTCCCAGCTGGCGCCCCAGGCGGCGGCCGCGCAGGTGCAGCGCCTGCGCCGCGGCGCCTTCCTGCCTGGCTACGGCTATGGTGGCATGCTGGGAGGGGCCGCCGCGGCTGCCGCGCAGCCCACGCCGGCCCAGCACGCGCAGGCAGCCGCAGCCGCGGCGCAGCTGCCGCAGGCGGCCTTGCACGGCTTGCGTGACGAGAAAGCGTGGGCGCCAGCTGGAGCTGTGCAGGCGGGGCAGGGGCAGTGCCAGGGGCAGCAGCATGATGCCGTGGCGGCGGCGGCAGCCGCCCAGGGTGCCACCGCCGCGCCGGGCAGCGCCTGGCCTCTGCACAGCGACGCCGACAAGCAGCCGTGCATCGCTGCGGCCAAGGCTGGCGACAGCAGCGCCATCGCCGCCCTGACGCGCTCCATGCGCCAGCACCCGCGGGAGATGAGCAGGCTGCAGGCGCTGGGCCTGCCCGCCGACACCTCCTGCGCGTGGCTGGCCGCCGGATGAGCTGGCCCGGCGGGCTGCCTAGCTCCGCATCAACCCTCCTTCATTGCCCTGTCCTGTACTGAAGAGGGCGACCCAATCCCCGTCCACCACGAGCCAACGCAGCTTCACTGCCGCCCTCCTCGCGGTCTCCTGCCACTGCTGCCCGCCGCGCCGGCTCGAGCGGCCCACCCAGCTTCGACAGCTGGGGCACGCGCCCTTCACATTTTTCACTTTGGCCGTGATTGATCATGATCATTCTAGCCTGCAACCATTCTAGCCTGTCCATTGGTCCTGCTCCCTACTACCCTGTCTGCTCTCCAAGACGACCGACCCTTTCATGCTTGCTGCTTGGCTGCTCGCCTCTTGCCTCTACTCTCGACTTTCATTCACGGGGAGCTTGTGCTTTGTGTGTAAGTGTACGAGCTTGGGAGGCAGGTCCGAATCCTGTACCTGTACGGTATGGCCGTGCCAAAAACAGGCGTGCAGCAGCACCCCGCCGTCCTGCAGGACGCGCGGAGCGGCCCATGTGTGGGAGTTGATTACACGTTGTGTTTCTGTCTCATTTGAGGAGCAAGATGCGGCAAACCGCTGCAGCACCATCGCGTCGTGCACAACCAACTGCGCAGCGCCGCTGGCCGCCGCCGCCGCCCCGCTGCGCCTCAGAAGTCCTTGAACACGCCGGTGGAGATGTAGCGGCTGTTGTGCTTGGCGTGCTGCCCCGTCTGGGCCACATCAAAGTTGGAGGCGTCGGCGGGGCCGCTGACCTGGCGACACATGGCAGAGGGGGTGCCAGGGAGAGCAGCAGGCGCATTTGGCATCCAGGCAGGCAGGGGCAGGCAGACAAACAGCACCAAGCAGCAGAGCCAGGGTGCTGCATGCACAGCTGCATTTTGGCCGCCTTCGGAGAGCCCACCGCACACTACACCACACCATTCCACACTCTCACATCCCACATACACCTCTCTCCGCCACCGCACCTTGGGCACGTAGGGCGCCTTGAGCTTGCGCTGGGCCAGCGCATCCCAGTCGAAGCCCTTGAACCAGGGGTGCTGCTTCACCTCCGCCACGCCGCCAGCCATGCAGCCAATGCGCCGGCTGGTGGCGCGCACCAGGAAGCGCTTGATGAGGTCCCGCAGCTCCTGGAGGGAGGGAGGAGAGGGAGGGTGTGAGTGTGCAGCATGTGTGGGTGGCGGGGGGCCCAGGAGGCAAGGCCGGGAGGTGGGCGCAGGAGGCAGGGGGTGGAGGCAGGCGGCCATGCATGCGGCTTGGCTCGGCCCCGCATGCCTGCATACCTGCCCCACCATCACCCACACCAGGCCACCACCCTTTCCTGCCTTCCCCACAGCTGCCCAGCAGCCACCACCCACACCACCACCACCACCACCACCACCACCACCGCCACCTTGCTGAAGTGTGTGGGCATCTTGAAGTCTGTGGAGCAGATGGCTCGGAACATGGCCACCCGGTCCTCCTGGTAGAAGGGCGGGTAGCCGGCCACCATCTCGTAGATCAGCACACCCACAGCCCACCTGCGCAGGAAGGCGGCGGCGGTGGTGGTGGTGGCGGCGTCGGTGGCAGTGGCAGCGGCGGTGGATGGCTGGTGGGGTGAGGGGAGACGAGGCGAGGGCAACCGCCGCGGGCCGCGGCCTCAAGCTGGCCAGCCAGCCAGCCAGCCCCACCAGCCCTGCGGCCAGCAGCCCGCCCACCAGCACAGCGCCCCCCACCCCCATCCCACCCACCAGTCCACCGCCTTGTTGTGCCCCGACTGCGTCACCAGCTCGGGCGCCAGGTACTCTGGTGTGCCGCACAGGGTGAAGGTCTTGCCGCTCTGCGGATGTGGGTGTAAGTGGCGGATGTGAGGCTGGGTGCGGCAGACTATGGGACTGGCGGCGGCGCGGCGAGGGAGCAGCGGTGTGCAGGCAGGCAGCCAGCTGAGTGGGTCGAGGTGGTGGTCGGCATCGACGTGTTGACATCAGGCAGCACAGCTGCCGGCCCCGCAGTCAGCAGCAGGACAGGCGGAGCCCCGGCCATCCACCACCACCACCGCCACCACCGCCAGCAGCTCGCTGCCGCCCCACCGGCGCAATCTTCTTGGCGAAGCCAAAGTCGGTGATCTTTAGGTAGCCGCGCGTGTCGATCAGCAGGTTCTCGGGCTTGAGGTCGCTGCGGGGGCGGGGTGGGGCAGAGGGCAGGGCAGGGCTGTGAGGGTGCAGGGAGGGCGGAGCGGGAGGGCGGCAGGATGGGGCGAGGCGGAGCAAGGCACCCAGGGGGTGCCAGGCAGGACAGAACTACCACATGCACTCACACGCACGCATGCGCACGCAGCGCCGCCACCACCCGCACCACTCCCTCGCCGCCCCTTCCTCTTGCTGTCCCCCCACCGCCGCCGCCACCCGCAGCAGCCGCGAGCTCACCGCCAGGCCACCCCCCTGTCGTGCATGTACTCCAGGCCCAGCACCACGCAGGCGGCGTAGAAGCGCGCCTCCTCCTCGCTCAGCGGCGCCTCCCTGTTCTGCAGGTATGTGAAGAACTCGCCGCCCTGCACCAGCTCCATGACCATGTAGAGGGAGGAGGGGTCCTGCGGGGGGGTGGGGGTGGGGGTGGGGGGATAGCACGACAGGGGGGTGGCCAGGCGGTGAG